TTGATTCCTTTCTACCAATTTTCTATGCCACTACCCAATTAATAATTCTTCCAGTTAACAAAGTGATAATAAGCCATTTTAAAAGGTGGAGATTAGAGAAGCCAGGATTATTATCCAAGGTTGAAAATACTTTGTACTTATATTGGAGAACAAATTAATAGCTTTCAACAATTATGTCATGACTCTAAAGACATATATCAAAATATTTCTTTTTGTATTTAGTCACTTTGCTCTAGAGAAATTATATGAAAATACTATTGCCACAACATGCTGCTAACAAAATCACCCCTAGATTCAGTTCTTGCGACAAGAATATGTTCTCTTTGGCTGAGTCTGTAGGTTTTGACAGATAGCTGATCTACATGAAGCTTGGCTGAGCAGCTCTGCTTCAGGCTGAGTGTTGGCTAGACTTGGGTGTAAGCTGTGGTTCAGATCAATTCTTTCATGTTTACTTGTTCTGCAACCTAAGCAAAAGGTGCCACACCTACCTCAGGCATATTATTTTTCAAAGTAAAGCACTGAAACCGAAATAGAAACAAAACTACACATGAATATTTAAGGCTTCTACATATGTTATGTCCACTCAAATTGCATGGGCAAAAGCCTTACATAGTCAAGCTTGACCTCACTGGGGAGGGAAAGTATGTTCCACCTATGTTTTAGACAATGATTTAAATGATCACAGGAATGATCCACTAGGAAACTATCTGATTGTCTTTACTAAATATAGTTTCTATATTACCATTTCTGATTCTCTAGAACTAAGTATTTTGCTTACCTCGTGAGAATGTAAAAGCAATAAGGGTATACATTTGAGGCTGTATCTTGAATAGCTTTTACATTTAGAGAGACATTTTTAAAATTGCATACTATTTTCATCACATGGGAAACCCAAGTCAGGATCTTCAGAAAACTCTATCTGTTTAAATAAATATCGATAGTATTGCCCTAACAGGTTTGGCTCAGTGGATAGAGTGTGGACCTCTGAACTGAAAGGTTCCAGTTTTGATTCCAGTCAAGAGCATGTACCTTGGTTGTGGGCACAACCACAGTAGGAGGTATGCAGGAGGCAGCTGATCAATGTCTATTACTCATCGATGTTTCTAGCTCTCTATCCCTCTCCCTTCTCTGTAAAAAATAATAATAATAATAAATATATATCTTAAGACAAACAAACAAATAAATAAATAGTACTTTATTCAATCAAAAAATTTTATTTGAGCATCTACTCGGTGGTAAGCACTGTTGCTAATACAGACTGTAAGAACAAAGACATTAACATTTCCATTGAGCAGCCCGCAGTCTGTATCAGGGGATGATGTATGAACAAGTGCACACTTATAATAAAAGATTACCTTGACAAAAGCGATATTGTTAATATTATGTGTAACTGTAGATCTACAGAGGGGTTACCAGGGAATCTCGCACTTTCTGCAACTGAAGTGAAGCTGTTAGGTCATAGTGACTTTGAATACAGGTTGGAATGAAGCAGGCTTCAGGGCAATATCTGAAGACTCTTTTCCATGCCTTCTTTACAGGTAGTTGGGACCTTAAAGGAACTGCTTAATTCTTCAATATGTAATTCAATCTGTAGAGTCACTTTCTAAATATATTTTTATTGTTCTGTTTAAATAATTTGCTCAGAGCCCAATGGTTATTTAAGAGAGAAATTATAGATTTCATATAGTTACTTATACATAAAGGAGCTGAATAATATAAGACACTGATTGTCAAATTGAGTGTGCTTAAAATTCACTCAGGTTAGCTCATTACAGGAAAGTTTCAGGCCTGCATTCCAAGTATTCCCATAGAGCATTATGGGGGGGCAGGGGTGTGACCAGGAAATTGCCTCGTTACCAATAAGCCCCTCTGTCCCCAGTCCCCGGATATTTCTGAGGGAAAGTAACTTGTTTATAATGTGAATATATCACTTTATACCACATCATCAGTGTTAATACTGGCAATGGAGTTTGCAAAATTCTGGCTTATTATTATTCAACTTAATGATTTACAATCAGATATTCAATCTTGTTGATAGAGATACAGTTTCATGGGGTTCAGGAGGACCCATTAAAGGTTAAGGAAGAAAAAAAAAAGACTAAGTGATTTTGCCCAGAGCAGGCACTCTTCTTAACTGAACAGCATATGTGTAACTTCTCATATTGAAATATATTTCAGTAATTAAAACAAATAAAATCGGCCGGGACTGGTTTGGCTCAATGGATAGAGCGTCGGCTTGGGGACTGAAGGGTCCCGGGTTCGATTCCGGTCAAGGGCATGTACCTTGGTTGCGGGCATATCCCCAGTAGGGGGTGTGCAAGAGGCAGCTGATCGATGACTCTCTCTCATCGATGTTTCTAACTCTCTATCTCTCTCCCTTCCTCTCTGTACAAAATCAATAAAATATATTAAAATAAATAAATAAATAAATAAAACAAATAAAATCAAATCAAAATATATAACTATAAAATAAAATTGACTAAATACAGCTTAAATATAAAATATTTAAAAGAGCAAAAATAAGTAATATAAATTGTAATATAAAATAAAACAGTTAAGAATGAGAGATTATAGAACAACTAAAGATGAAATTAAATGCCATAAGACTGAAATTGGTAAAAAATATTTAGGAAGATAATTAGGTAAAACATATATATATATATATATATATATATATATATATATATATATATCCTATCTAATAAGAGTAATATGCAAATGGACCATACCTCAGCTACACTCAAAAGCCACACCCACCAGCTAATCAGGAGTGAGTATGCAAATTAACCCAACCAAGATGGCTGCAGCCATGGAGAGAGCCAGAGGCTTAGGTTTCCCTGGCAATGGAGGAAGCCAAGCTTTCTGCCTACTCTGGCCTGCATTGGCTTCTGCTTAAGGCTACAAAGTTTCAATTATAGAAGATAAATAAATCCCAATAAAAACGGCTGCAACCATGGAGCAGGCAGAAGGCTTAGCTCTGCTCAAGGCTACAAAATGTCAATTATAGAAGATAAATAAATCCCAGATACCAAGGCCTCTACTTGGGTCACTGGGGGGCATGGCCAGCCTGCAAAACCACCACAAGCCCCTCGCCAAGGCCACCCCACGCCCCAAGGGAACCCCCACCCTGATCCAGGATACCCTTCAGGGCAAACCAGCTGGCTCCACACGTGCACCAGACCTCTATCCTATCTAATCCTATTTAATAAAAGAATAATATACAAATTGACCATCACTCCAACACACAAGATGGCTATCCCCATGTGGACATAAGATGGCCAGCAAGGGCTGGCAGTTGGGAGGGACCAGGCCTGCAAGGAGGGAAGTTGGGAGTGATCAAGCCTACAGGGGAGGGCAGTGAGGGACAAACAGGCTGGTGGGGGAGCATTTAGGCATCAATCAGGCTGGTAGGGGAGTGGTTAAGGGGTGTTCGGGCTGGCAGGCAATAGTGGTTAGGGGCAATTAGGAAGGAAGGCAGGTGAGCAGTTGGAAGCCAGCAGTTCTGGATTGTGAGAGGGATTCCTAAATTGGAAAGGGTGCAGGCTGGGCTGAGGGACACACCCCCATGCATGAATTTTGTGCACCTGGCCATATATATATATAAAAGAAAAAGGAATAATATGTTACCAAGATAGGAGATAACCTATCTTTAGATACAAACCATTTTTAGATACAGTGAAACAGATAAAGCAGTCGAGAAAAACAATGATTATGGGTTTAAAAGGACATAATGCTAAAAAGGAGTTAAAATAATAATAATACAAAAAATTGGGTGAAAAGAGAAAACATCTAAAGAAGAACAAAGGAAAAGCTAAAGAAAGTACTGATAGTAAATAAATATAAACCTAACATCTATATGAAGCAATAATAGGCTCTCAGGTATCAGCAGCAGAAGCTTGAAAATCAGTTTGGAGTACCTAGAAACATGTCTCAGGGTCAGGGGCCAGAATGCAAACCTCTTGGCTTTTTGTGATTTCCCTCGCACCCCTGGAAGTCAGCCAAAAAAAAAAAAAGGCCAAAACCAAGCGCTTGCTTGCACACAGGTTCTAATTCCCTGTAACAAGACCACCCATGTGCTTCCACAAGGAAACAGTGTGCTTATTTTAGGATACTGTTTTGCTTTGTGTACAAAATGCTTCCACTTGCCAAGAATGGGAGAGTAGCACTTTCCTCTGCTAAACGGATAACTTAAGTTTACCCCACTCACTATGTATCTGAAAAAAAAAATGCATCTGAAAAAATAGTGCTTTTTTATTATCAGGAAATAGTCATAAAGTTTTGGGTAAAAACTCCTAAATGTTCATTGATAATAAAATATTAATAACAGCCCCTATGTACTTCAGATGATCTCTGACAATAATTGCTTATCAAGATTTTTCTTACACTTTTGTCACCAAGAGTTATTTCATTGCTTAAACACTGCTATTACTTAATAAATGTGAGTTGTTGTTTAATCCTTCCCTTTCTTCATTTATCCACTGACTAGACAAATATTCACTGAGTACTAACCATGTGCCAGAAAATGTATTCAATGCTGTTATAAAATGGTAAACAGCATAAGCCAGGCTGTCTAATAAAGCTCATATCCTGAAAGAATACTTGGTGAGCCTAAACCGGTTTGGCTCAGTGGATAGAGCGTCGACTTGCAGACTGAAAGGTCCCAGGTTCGATTCTGGTCAAGGGCATGTACCTTTATTGTGGGCATATCCCCAGTAGGGGGTGTGCAAGAGGCAGCTGATCGATGATTCTCTCTCATCGATGTTTCTAACTCTCTATCCCTCTCTCTTCCTCTCTGTAAAATATCAATAAAATATATTTTAAAAAAGAATACTTTGTGAATAATAAAAATAAACATAAAGATGGCCAAGAGACGTGAAAAAATGCTCAAAGTTACTTATCATTAGATATATGCAAATTAAAATAATAATGAGGTATCACCTCACACCTGTCAGAATGGCTACCATCAACAAATCAACAAATGACAAGTGCTGTCTAGGATGTGGAGAAAAGGGAACTCTGGTACACTGCTGGTGGGAATGCAGACTGGTGCAGCCACTGTGGAAAACGGTATGGCAGTTCCTCAATAAGTTAAATATCGAACTTCCTTTTGATGCAATAATCCCACTACTAAGACTATATCCTAAGAATCCAGAAACATAAGTCAAAAAGAATATATGCATTCCTATGTTCATAGCAGTACTATTTACAATACCTAAGATCTGGAAATAGCCCAAGTGCCCATCAGTGGAGGTGCAGATAAAAATGCGGTGGTACATAGCTATACAGCTGTTGAAGAAGAAGAAGAAGAAGAAGAAGAAGAAGAAGAAGAAGAAGAAGAAGAAGAAGAAGAAGAAGAAGAAGAAGAAGAAGAAGAAATCTTACCCTTTGAGGCATCAAAGAGGGGCTTGGGGAATATTATGCTAAGCAAAATAAGCCAGTCAGAGAAAGACAAGTATCACATGATCTCACCATATGTTGAATCTAATGAACAAAATAGATCTAGAGACATAGAAGCATGAAACACATTGTCGAATCTTAGAGGGATATTGGCAGTGTATGTGTGTGAGGGTTAACAAAAACAAATCCAGAGACAGAGAATCATGATCAGACCATCAAACCTCAGCAGGAAGTCAGAGAGGGTGGGGGGAAGGAGGAAAGATCAACCAAAGGACTTATATGCATACGTATAAGCATAACCAATGGACACAGATACTAGGGGAGGGGAGGGCATGAGCGAGGATGGGTGGAGAGGCAATGGGGGAATAAGAACACATATGTAATATCTTAATCAATAAAGAAAAAAAAAGACTGGGAAAATTTGGTAAAAGAAGACTTTGTAATGAGCATAGTAGAATATACAGGAAACTTCCTGTGGACAAATTATTTCTAAGACATCTAATGTGTCTGTCATGGACATAGTTATACCAGGTAGTAAGTCGGGGTTCTGAGAAAGCAGAAATTAAAGCTTGAATTGGAGATTTGGAAATTTTGATTTGCTGATTCTTTAGAAGCTACAGTTATTTCTTCAGCTCCTTTTCTGTTATTGTTTTCTAAGTCTTTTTTTGGTAGAGTGTAATTTTTTTTGCTTTGATCTTTGCAGAGTTAGATTAGACCTATATATCTACACTATAATGATCCAACTTTTAAAATCATCATTAAGTTTGCTCATTCCTCAGACTCTCAAATACATATCTTGCTGCTCTAAGTGACTATGTTCCCAGAAACATGGTTATCTTATTATTTCAGGAATACTCTCCCACCCTCCCTATTCTACCACATTTTTTGTATCTCTTGTCTGTGAATGCTTCCAGTTCCCTAAAACTTCAGCTTTGGGTGATGAGATCTCTCTCTAAAACCTAATCCAATCTGTACTTTTTCTATCACAGTTTCTTATTTCTTTATTTCTGAAAAGGAGATGCAATTATTATTGGCCCTTAAGATTCTTGTGAAATTGAATTATTTAAATGAACCTTCAGTACACAGGGTGTCCTAAGAAATGTCTACACATTTCGCATGATTATAAAGTCAATATTTATTAACTTTATAATTTTTGAAACAAAAGAATCTACAGAAATTAATCTACACTTTATAATTTTTGAAACAAAAGAATCTACAGAAATTAATCTACACTTTATAATTTTTGAAACAAAAGAATCTACAGAAATTAATCTATATTTTTCAAACTGATGATCATCTGCTATAGTCATTGCTGGTAATGCAAAGCAGAAAAACCGCAAACATCTAGCATCATTTTGTGTGCCCTCAATTCGTAAACTGTTGCTGGTTTTGTACCAGTAAATTTTATCTTTTATGTATCCCCATAAAAAAAAAGGTCTAATGGCACTTTAGGACAAATTTTCTGTGTTCAAAGCTTAGTCTGGCTTCACCCATTATTTCAAATCAGTTAAACCTAAAAAGGTGTGAAAATTAAGTGAGATATCACCTGTTAAATTGTGTATAAATTTTTGGGTGACACACTATACTGGTATGTAGATTATTATTTTCAATATCATTTTTACTGTCAAAATAGCTCTTGTTTAACATCTTTTCAAAATAGGGAAAATCAAACATCAAGAGCTTTATCTGGGTGAAGTAATTGTGCATTTCTATTTGCCTTATTATGTTTAAGGTTATCTTGATTAATCTGACTTAGAAAAAAAATTAATGAAAGAATATTTAAGACTTTAAAAAAAATTGACAGCAATTTGGGAGGCAAATCTTGCAGATGAGCCAGGATCAAGGGGGCTCAGGTGAGAAGACCCAGAGCAGAAGCTCAGGATCCTGAAGCAAATGAAGCCTCGCCGAAGCCTGCTTAAGGTGAGGTGACCAGACGTCCCATTTTTTAACAATCTGTCCAGCGTCCCAGGGCATTTTAAAACAGTCCCAATTTATTCTTTCCAAAAATCGGGACTGTTTTAAAACTCCGCGAGACGCAAGACAGATTGTAAAAAATCGGGACTGTCCTGCCAAAAGCGGGACGTCTGGTCACCTTACCATTAGGAATACTTCCAACTGTACTTGCTTGTCCTGTTTTGTGTAGGTCAATGTCTACACTTTGGAGAAGAGAACTTCTTGCCTGAGTGCCTCTGGGTGTTGGGCAGGCAGATTTGATTACTTGGGTCACCTTCAATAGTACATGAAATGAGCAAGTAACCGCCACTAGAATAGGGTGCTGTTATTTAAGAGGGGACATGGACACTGGGTTACCAAAAACTTAAGTACTACTACAGCATTTTAGAGATAAGTGCCTTCTCCCTTTTTAAGTTTGGGTGTTGTATATGAAATATGTATTACATTTATATATGACATATTACATTTTTAGTTAATATGTGTTACATTTCTATATCAGACAAATTGGACTTTTAAGTTTTTTAGTCTTAGTTCTTGTACTTCTTACTAATAAACATTATTGTATTTGTATGAGATTTTAATTAAACCACACTATTAAAATACTAACACAATTCTTGGAAAATGTTCAATAAACATAGATAATAATTATCAATGTTATTAATATAAATATGAAATAAGCTGTTTGCCTCATTAATAAAAATTATAATTTACTTTTGATTATATAATACATAGTCCCAAAATTTAAAAAAAAATATAAGAAATAATTCATGTATTAGGAATCCTCTATCCTTTCAATACATATTTGTTCAAATATGTAAAATTCACTTTTTAATACATGCATTTGATTTTAAATCACTAAACATCAGAAATTGTATTTAATACATTGGATCAAAGTGCAATAATTCACTTCACTATACTAAGTTCTCCTCCTAGTTACTGCATTTTTATTTTAATCTACTGCCAATGCTAGAAAGTGCTGTTCTCAGAATCTTTGAAGCTAAGCAGTGTTCAGAAGATGCACCCACCATTATTAATCAACAAAAGTTTCTGTCAATCTCAGCCTTCAAATGTTCAATTGTATTCTCCCCAGCGAGCCATAAAGACCTTTTTGATATTAAAATATCTTTAATCTCATCATGGCCTATTGCACAGTCCATTTATTTAAGCTATTAATCTCATTATATAACTTCCCTGGCCAAGTCATTCACTTTAAAAGGACTCCCCTTTTGCCATGATTGTAAAGACCAAAGGAAAAGATGATAGCTCTTTCCAAACCTCAAAAGGGAAGGAAGTGATCTACTCTTTATTACACTTTATCATGTCCTTTAAAAAATCTTATCATGTATTAGCAGTAATATTCATGACACTGGAGTACACTTACAATAGTCAGTTCTCATGGTTATCAAAGAGCTTCACTTTAGCATTTAATCAACTCTAAAAGCCATTCTCACTGTGGATATTCCCAATGCTGGGGGCATTACCCATAAGCATTTTTATTTTTTTGCATATTGAGGCAAATGGTTTGGAAGATGGAACATAGCTCTAGTAGGGATTTATCTGATTTTTAAAGGGCATTCTAATTATCATAATATCTTCTTTAGGGAGCCTGCTGAGTGGCCATTTAATCTACCAAATTTAGGAGATACTTAAAAGTATTGTCTTGCTTTCTGTAATTAGGGCTTTCTTCAGGAAATGAGCATGTATCAAGCAGAGCAGCATGTACAAGGCTGGGTTATGGAGTTGTAGAGGATGCTTCTTCCTTGTATGGTGGAAATGGGGACATGAAAAAGCCCATTAAACCCCAACCATCTCTTTGTGTGATGACAGTACTACTGTTCTTTCTAATGGAATAGTTTCTCAGAAGCCTGTTCACTAAATTTACTTTAAGGGATTTGAATTTCTGGAAAAGAATAATACCCTGAAAGTTCAACTTCTCACTGATTCTGGAAAACATGATCTCTGAAGAGCTATTAAGCTATTATTATCATTTAATTATTATTATTACTATATTTTTATTAGCCTAACACAAAGAGGGTCTCAATCAATATTTCTGATAAAAATAAAATCTGTTTGTTAGTCTAGAGCCATGGTTAGCAAACTGAGGCTCGCGAGCCACATGTGTCTCTTTGGCTCCTTGAGTGTGGCTCTTCCACAAAATACCATGGCCTGGGTGAATCTATTTTGAAGAAGCTGCGATAGAAGAAGTTTAAGTTTAAAAAATTTGGCTCTCAAATGAAATTTCAATTGCTGTACTGTTGATATTCGGCTCTGTTGACTAATGAGTTTGGAGACCACTGGTCTAGGGCTTACAACACTGAAGGAAAAGGATTCTCTGCTCCCCAAGCAACCACTTTGTTTGTTTTAAAATCACGTGGGACACCTAAGATGCCTTTGACATTTGATTTAATCTATAATTTATTTTCCACTAGAGCCCGGTGCACAAAATGCATGTATGGAAAGGGTGTCCGTTGGCTGACCTGCACCCTCTTCAATCTGGGACCCCTAGGGGGATGTCCAACTGCCAGTTTAGGGGTTGGCAATCAGAATCCCTCTCACAATCCTAGACCACTGGCTCTTAACCACTCGCCTATCTGCCTGCCTGATCACCCATAACCACCTTTGCCTTCTGGTTGATGCCCCTAGCTGCTACCCTGCAAGCTTAATCTCCCCCTAACTGCCCTCCCCTGCTAGCCAGATTTCCCCTAACTGCTCTCCCCAGCCAGCCTAATTGCCCCTAACCACCTCTTCCTTGGCCTCTGCCACCATGGCTTTGTCCCGAAGGATGTTTGGAAGACATGTGGTCTAATTAGCATATTACTCTTTTATTAGTATAGATGTTGTCCACCTACATTCCTTTTGTCCCTCTGAAATCTGTTTTGGGGATGTTCACCAAGCCCACAACCTCAAGAAAAAAGAAAACCTCTCTTT